ATTAAAATAATATTATAAACAAGTAAAGGCCCATGAATTAAATTCATGGAGTTGGATTTTTCTAAGTCAAATCGAATTTTAGCCCTAGCCCTAAGTCAAATCGAACTCTGATCGCTTGCTGTGCGTTTTTGACCTACTTCCACCACTACAAAATTGATTTAATCTATGTGGTATACAGGCACATATGTGCGGAGAGAGGTGCGCTAAGGCCTGATTGATCCGTAATAATTGCCCACAAAAAACAGAGAAAGGCCATGTCCTTATGGCAAGAAGTATCGAAATACCGGAAAGAAATGGAGACAACGTGCCAGTTAGTGGTGTGAATCCCACAATATCTCCTGCCGCAGTGAAATCTTTCGAATAATGAAATAGCTGTAGACATCGGACGGTTTCAATTCGTCCAAATATGCATCGTCCGATGTTCCTCCTGTAGAGGCCCAATTGACTGTGATAGTAGATCCTCCTCTTGTGACGTTATTGCAGTGATGTACCATATTAATGCAGTGGGGATGACAGGCCAAGTTACAGTGGTGTTCTCCGCTTACTGAGTGATGATTTGATGTGGAATCGTGGAGAGCATATGACGTGGGATCTTGGAGAGCTGAGCCTGTTCTTGGTGCTGGGGGCCTTGTTGCCGCTTGGTTTCTCCGCAGTGTTCTCCGCATTTGCCTGTTGTATTGACTTCTCTTACACTGACTGAGTGGATTGGTGTGAGATCGTGGAGAGTAGGCCTGTTGTGTCACTGCTGCTGATGACTGTCTCCGCAATGTTCTCCGCAGTGTTCTCCGCATTCGCCTGTTGTAGATCCTCCTCTTATTCAACTGAGTGCGAGGGTATCGAGGGTAAATGTGTTCATATTGGTGGAATTGGTAGAATTGGTAGAATTGTGAAAGAAGAATAGTTACACAAATAGGTGGAAGGATTATTATCCGATCCCGGACGCGTCTGGTGTGATTACCCCTATTTTCATAATCATTGGGAAACTAGAATCGCGATTTTGGCACCCCCCTTCAAAAAACAAAAAAAGTGCTTTTCTTGAATAGCCTCACAACGATAACTTGTAACGTTCTAAAAAATCTCTAGATTTTAATAATTATATAAGAGATTAAGAATCTCGAATTTTAAAAGATTCTAATTATTCGTTTTATTATAGAATAAAGATTTAATAAATTCTTAGATTTTTTAAAATAGTCTTGGCGGTAAAAAAATAGCCGAGGTAAATTTTTCAAGTTCGCGATATATTCTCACTTTTTATATTTCACTTATAAGATTAAGATTAAAATCTTTCTAAAATCTAGAGATAGATTACTTAATATAATAAGTAGATATCGTAAAATTTCTAGACTGTAAAAACAAGTGGTGGTGAGGTTATACAGGAAAATTCAAATTTTTGATTTTTGATTATGGGGGGGTGCCAAATTCGCAGATTTTTTTTTAGTTTCCCAATGATTAAGAAAACAGGGGTATCATATTTTCAGGAGCTTCTTCTTGACGATGTTCAGGATCTAACACGCGTTGAGAGGCTTCAAAACAGGGTGATAAAGAACGGGTAGGGGACGCGTCTTGGGAGGAAGCATCGCTGGGTTAGAAGGCACCACCGCTGGCTTAAGAGGAGTATGTAGGGGAGGACGTATCCGTTCGGGCTCTCTTTGAGGGCCTTCCAACGCGTTTATGAGCAGTAGTAGGTAGCTGTTGGGCTCGCTTGCGGCCTCGATTGCCAGCAGTACGGGGCTACAAGCTACTCCATGAGAACCCACGGCATCATGATCCGCGCACCTACAATCGTCCTACTTCAGATGAGGTCGCTATCGCTTGGGAAGGTGATGTGGATAACCCACTGGGCGTACCTGAGGCTAAGGATGTCTTGGTAGAGGCTCGAAGTAGTGAGAGATTCAGTGTTCCATATTGGCATCCAGCCTATAAGCCCTTACGCTACCCCCTTATCTTCCCATTCGGCGAACAGTCATGGCATAACAATATACCCAATGCAGGTGTTGCACTGGGTGGGAGCCTTCTTGCCTACCGACGCAGCAATGGCGAAATCGCCCCACGAGTCAAAGGAACTACCGGCCGAGGTGGCTCTACACGAGTGACGCTTGCCTCATATTATAGGTCCATACTATCCATTCCTTCTGCTTTATTGACCGCTGACTTCCCATAGATATATAACGCAGATTCGTCCTGGCAAGTTCAACCGCCTCCTCCACTGCGGTAGGCTGCTACAGCATTTCGTCTGCGATGCATATGTGGCTGTCGAAAGCAATCGACTCCATTTGCTAAAGGTGAATCAGAAGACCATTCGGGCTGATACCTATCAAGCAGTCGTCGATGCTCACGTCGGTGGAGCCACCACAGGCGATCAGGCTGGCAAACAACGCATCGTCCTCCCTTCCTCCTATCAAGGAGGCCCACGGTTCATGAAACAACTCTACCAGGATACCATTGCCCTGTCCACGGGATAATCATAGATTGAGGTATGTAGGCAATTCCTTCTTAGCCGGGTAGAAATACTTCAAGCTGCAGCATGAATAACTTACCGCGCTAACGGTGGTATTGAAACATCACGACATTTTTTTGGTGTGGTGTCTCTTTTTTCATGCACCAAAACTTTCCGCGCTAGGCGTATTTTTCTTGGCAATTTCTTTGATGAGTTGAAGCTTCAAGCTGTAGAATGAGAAGATTACCGCGCTAACGGTGGTTTTGAAACATCGCGACTTTTTTTGGTGTGGTGTTCTTTTTTCAGTCACCAAATTTTTCGCGCTAGGCGTATTTTTCCTTTTTTTACCCGCAAATTAATTTGGTTCTCCTCCCGCACTTTGCGTACATTTCTTGACTAACACATGTTCGTCCTTATTCAGGTTAGCTGATGACCCTTATTCGTATCCTTCAGACTCAGTACCATACCCTCCCTCTACCGGACGATGCGCAATGTAAGCAGCCGTCACCGAAGACTTCTGCCTTCATTTGATTCAAATCCGCTTGGAGGAAAACAACACCAGCTCTACAAAGGACATCAGCCTCACTACTCGCAACAGTGGGACTGTGGGTTAGTGGGTCCATTATGAGGCCATAGCGTTGGTGGCTGTTTGATCAGCCGTTCGTGTTGGTACCCTTGTTGGTACCCCTGTTGGTACCCCGGCAAGGGGTTGGGGATAGGTGTCCAGTACGAGCTATATAGCCACCTGTTTTGCACCTGTCAACGGCTCTTCATTCGATTTCGTCTCTTTCAGAGCCATATCATTTTTCTCTTTATCAGTCATTGCGAAAGGATATTTCGGCTATTTCAGCCATGCGGCCATGAAGCTATTCAGCTATTCCAGCTATTTGAGGCCACGTCACATGGATATTTCAGCCCTATTTCAGCCCTATTGCAGCCATGCGGCCATGAGGCTACTCAGCCATTTCCAGCCATATGGAATTGTCCAGCATACCAGCTATTTGAGGCTATTGCAGTCACATAGAGATCATGCAGCTATTCACCCATTGGAGCCATGCCAGCCATTGGAGCCATGCCAGCCATTGGAGCCATTCCAGCCATTGGAGCCATTCCAGTCATTTGCAGCCGTACGGCCATGCGACCATGCCACTACCATTTGGATACACACTTCAGCCATTCCACCTATAACTGTTCACCTCAGCTACCGCAGCTACATTGAAATTTCAGTCATTTCAGCCACTGAAGCCATACGGCTATAAGGATAGTCAGCTATTATAGCTATATGGTATGTAGCCATTTCAGCTAAGTCGGCTATCTCAGGCATCGCAGCTATTTGAGTATTTCAGTTATTTCAGCTATTTGAGCTATTGCAGCCATGTTGCTTTTCAGTTATTTCAGCCATTTCAGCCATTTGAGCTAGTGCAGCCATTTCAGCTATTTGAGCTATTGCAGCCATGTGGCTATTTCAGCTATTTGGGCTATTGCAGCCATGTGGATGTTTTCAATCATTGCAGCTATTTCAGCTATTTCAGCTATTTCAGCTATTTCAGCTATTTCGGCTATCGCAGCCATGTGGCTATTTCAGCTATTTCAGCTATTTGAGCTATTGCAGCCATGTGGCTATTTCAGCTATGTGGGCTATTGCAGCCATGTCAGCTATTTCAGCTATTTGAGCTATTGCAGCCATGTGGCTATTTCAGCTATGTCAGCTATTTGAGCTATTGCAGCCATGTGGCTATTTCAGCTATGTCAGCTATTTGAGCTATTGCAGCCATGTGGCTATTTCAGCTATTTCAGCTATTTGAGCTATTGCAGCCATGTGGCTATTTCAGCTATTTCAGCTATTTGAGCTATTGCAGCCATGTGGCTATTTCAGCTATGTCAGCTATTTGAGCTATTGCAGCCATGTGGCTATTTCAGCTATTTCAGCTATTTGAGCTATTGCAGCCATGTGGCTATTTCAGCTATTTCAGCTATTTGAGCTATTGCAGCCATGCGGATATTTCAGCTATTTGGGCTATTGCAGCCATGCGGATATTTCAGCTATTTGGGCTACCGCAGCCATGTGGATATTTCAGTCATTCCAGCTATTTAGGCTACCGCAGCCTTGGAGATGTCCCAGCCATTTCAGCTATTCGGGCTACCGCAGCCATGGAGATGTCCCAGCCATTTCAGCTATTCGGGCTATCGCAGACATGGAGATGTCCCAGCTATTTCAGCTACTTGGGCTACCGCAGCCATGGGGATGTCTCAGCTATTCCAGCTATTTGGGCTACCGCAGCCTTGGAGATGTCCCAGCCATTTCAGCTATTCGGGCTATCGCAGCCATGGAGATGTCCCAGCCATTTAGAGTCCCAGCCATTTCAGCTATTCGGGCTATCGCAACCATGGAGATATCCCAGTTATTTCAGCTACTTGGGCTACCGCAGCCTTGGAGATGTCCCAGCTATTTCAGCTAATCGGGCTATCGCAATCATGAAGATGTCCCAGTTATTTCAGCTACTTGGGCTACCGCAGCCATGGGGATATTTCAGCTATCCCAGCTATTTGGGCTACCGCAGCCATGGAGATGTCTCAGTTATTTCAGCTGTTTAGGCTATCGCAACCATAAGGGTATCTCAGCTATCGCAGCCATGGAGAACTCTCAACTATTCCACTTATTTGGGCTATCGCAGCTTTGGAGATGTCTCAGCTATTTCAGCTATTTGGGCTACCGCAGCCTTCAGCTATTTGGGCTACCGCAGCCATGGAGAGGTCTCAACTATTCCAACCATTTGGGCTATCACAGCCACAAGGATATCTCAGCTATCGCAGCCATGGAGAACTCTCAACTATTCCACCTATTTGGGCTATCGCAGCTTTGGAGATGTCTCAGCTATTTCAGCTATTTGGGCTACCGCAGCCTTCAGCTATTTGGGCTACCGCAGCCATGGAGAGGTCTCAACTATTCCAGCTATTTGGGCTACCGCAGCCATGCGGATATTTTAGCTATTCCAGCCATTTGGGCTATCGCAGCCACAGGGATATCTCAGCTATCGCAGCCAGGGAGATGTCTCAACTATTCCAACTATTTGGGCTACCGCAGCCGTGGAGATGTTTCAGCTACTCCAACCATTTGGGCTATTGCAGCCACAGGGATATCACAGCTATCGCAGCCATGGAGATGTCTCAGTTATTTCAGCTGTTTAGGCTACCGCAGCCATGGGGATATTTCAGCTATCCCAGCTATTTGGGCTACCGCAGCCATAAAGATGTCTTAGCTATTCCAGCCATTTGGGCTATCGCAGCCCTGGGGATGTCTCGGTCACTCCAGCTATCGGGGCTACCGCAGCCATGGAGATATCTCAGTTATTTCAGCTATTTGGGCTATCGCAGCCCTGAGGACATCTCGGTCACTCCAGCTATCGGGGCTACCGCAGCCATGGAGATGTCTCAATTATTTCAGCTATTTGGGCTACCGCAGCCATGGGGATATCTCAGTCCAACTATCACAGTCATATTCCAGGCTACCGCAGCCATTGGGATACCCAAGCTATTCCAGCCATTTGGGCTATTGCATCGGGCGATGACGCATGCGCGTCAAAGCCTTACATCAGGTGGGAAGCCCCACCTGATGCCAGCCATTGGTACATCAGGTGGGAAGCCCCACCTGATGTCAGTCATTGGTAGCCATTGGTACATCAGGTGGGAAGCCCCACCTGATGTCAGTCATTGGTAGCCATTGGTACATCAGGTGGGAAGCCCCACCTGATGTCAGTCATTGGTAGCCATTGGTACATCAGGTGGGAAGCCCCACCTGATGTCAGTCATTGGTAGCCATTGGTACATCAGGTGGGAAGCCCCACCTGATGTCAGTCATTGGTAGCCATTGGCACATCAGGTGGGAAGCCCCACCTGATGCGCCGTTATTCCAGCTGGGAAAGCCGTCACCAGCAACCTCCGCGAGGTACTGACGTCACTTGGTGTTGAGGGCCATTATTCAGGCCATTCCTTCCGCAGAGGGGCTGCAACATCAGCACGTGACGCCGGCCTCAGCAATGACGAGATCCAATTGCTAGGCCGTTGGAAGTCAGATTCCTACCGCCTGTACATCGTCACTCACCCAGCCCACATACTCAGAGCATCACTACGGCACCAGCACCTTCCAGCCCGTCCGCGCTAGTGCTGCCGGTCCCTACTGCTTGCTGCGGTAGGTACCGTCAGGAGTCCTCCTCGAGACCTTCACCCTCTTTGGACGACGTCTTGGGTTTTGGGAGTTTTCTAGCGCTGGGGGGCCTTTTTCGGGCTATCTGCTCAGTCCAGATGTCCAAAAAGGTCTTAGCTGCCCCAGTGTTGGATATGCCCAATCATATATCTACATATCTACTTGTGCATGCGTTATTTCTATATGGCCTCACTGTTTGCGAGCACTAATCGCAACAGTGGGACTGTGGGTTAGTGGGTCCATTATGAGGCCATAGCGTTGGTGGCTGTTGGATCAGCCGTTCGTGTTGGTACCCTTGTTGGTACCCCTGTTGGTACCCCGGCAAGGGGTTGGGGATAGGTGTCCAGTACGAGCTATATAGCCACCTGTTTTGCACCTGTCAACGGCTCTTCATTCGATTTCGTCTCTTTCAGAGCCATATCATTTTTCTCCCACCCACCCACACCTGTATATAGCCTCATTTCACTCCAGGGCATGTCGCTCAGACATGGGAGTTTTTCTAGCGCTGGGGGGCCTTTTTCGGGCTATCTGCTCAGTCCAGATGTCCAAAAAGCTCTTAGCTGCCCCAGTGTTGGATATGCCCAATCATATATCTACATATCTACTTGTGCATGCGTTGTTTCTGTATGGCCTCACTGTTTGCGAGCACTAACGGCTTTGGTCTACCCGCGATCCAGCAAGACTACGAACAGTATCATGTTGACGGTCGGAATCGACTACTACGCGAAGAACGTAGCTATCGAACTAATACCTGGGAGCAGATGTGGGCGAGTCTTAATAACGATCAAATCGCTGCAGCTGACGCTATTTGGAACGCGGTCTCTCATTCCAATAACTAACTCTTCTTCCTTAATAACTATAAAAGTACCGACAAGACCATACTTCAGAACACCGTATTGCGAAGAGTACGAAATAACTCTAAGGTAGCTATTACTATAACTTCATCTAGCATCGCCTCCATCCTCCTTCAAGGTGGCCTTACCGCTCATTCTCGCTTCAAGATCCCCCTTAATGCTACTGCTCAGTCCAATTGCGGTGTATCGATAGGGTCTGATTTAGCTCAGTTATTGGAGGCGACCGAGCTCATCTTCTGGGACGAGGTCTCCATGCAAAACCGCTACGATATCGAGGCCGTCGATCGCATGCTCCAAGACATTCGAAAGAACCCCACTCCTTTTGGTGGCATAGTCACATGCTTCTGCGGTGACTTCCGTCAAATCCTTCCAATCATTAAGGATACTAAGTTAGGTCACATCGCTCGGGCTACGTTAAGGGCGTTCTATCTTTGGAACCACATTCAAATCCTCAGGCTGACAGAAAACATGAGGCTCCGGAACCCCAATCTAACTGATCAAGGCCGGACTGACATGGAGGAATTCGCTCGGAGGCTATTAGATGTGGGCAATGGTACCTCAGCAAGCTTCGGAGGACGAGAAGCGGTCGATTGGTCTACCGGGTAACTATCAGACGACTCTATCACTTAGCTGATTGATACTATTTACAGTGACCTTGGCCCGCATCGGACAGCTGATTTCTACACGTCCAGGGCGATCCTTTGCACCCTCAACAAGAATGTCGCCCGGTTCAACAGTTAAGTCCTTGATAAGTTCCCTGGGGCCAAGACCGTTTGCAATAGTAGGGATCAAGTCGTCAAGGAGGAAGATAGCTTCCTCCTGCCCACTGAAATGATGAATGCCTTCGAACCGGCCTCGCTTCCACCCCATCACTTGGAGTTAAAACAGGATTGTGTGGCAATGCTGCTGAGGAATTTGGAGCAGCGTATGGGTCTATGTAATGGGACACGTCTACAAGTCAAGCATATTAGATCTAAGACACTCGATTGCCGCATCCTTGGGGGCGAACATAACGATAAACAACACTACATACCACGCATCCCTCTAGCTCCGCCTAATTCGAACGATCTACATGCTCCCTTTCGACGCATCCAATTCCCAATCCGATTGGCCTTCAGCATGACGATTAACAAGTCCCAGGGCCAGTCATTACAGCAGGTCGGCCTATGCCTATACCCCGAGGTCTTTGCCCATGGCCAATTGTATGTGGCCCTGAGCCGAGTTATCAGCAAGGCCGGCCTGTCAATTGTCGCCTCAGGCGATCTACCAAGAAGGCAACCCACTCGGCCGGCGAGGTGTATCAAGAACAAGGTTATCAAGCAGATACTTCTTCCTCAGGTAAGGACGTGATTGGTCAGCGATCTGTAGTGATAGAAGTAGGCCAAATACCACATAGAAAGCAAGCAGAGTCCGATTTGACTTAGGGTTAGGGCTTTCACCTCCTTCATCAATTTCGTAGTGGTGGAAGTAGGTCAAAAACGCATAGAAAGCGATCAGAGTTCGATTTGACTTTGGGCTAGGGCTAAAATTCGATTTGACTTAGAATAATTCAACTCCATTTGACTTAGAAAAATCCAACTCCATGAATTTAATTCATGGGCCTTTATTAATTTATTATAAAAGAGTAAATCTAAAATCTTCTTATTAGATTTATTTATAAGAAATATTTAATTTTCTTTATTTATAGTTTTCGTAGTTTTTATATCCCTTCTTAACTACTTAAATAAATCTTTATATTATTAAAAAATTAATATAAATAAAATCTTAAATAAGATATTTTATCTCTAAAGATTTATAAGATTAGAGGTTTTAATTTAAATCGATAGCGGTGTCCGTATTATCGTTTCGTCGTTTCTCTTCTACTTTCTATAACGATCTTTATTTAATAATATAAGCGAGCTTCTTATTATATTTTTTTTCTCTATCTTTATTACTTATTATAATTTCTTTAAGAGTAAAAAAATATTATTAAAGATAGATAAAGATAGAGAGATATTCGCTTTTATAATCGCTATAACTTTAATTATTATAATATCTAATTATATTATAATTTTTTTATTAAGAAACTTCGATAGATATCTTAATTTAGATATTTAAGATCTTGATAAAGATTAATAATAACTTTATTATTTTAATATTTAGATAAATCTATTAAATAATAACTTTTTTTATTATTATTATAATAAGAATAATAGCGATTTTTTTAGATTTCTTAACTCTCTTTAGCTTAACTATATTTAATTTTATATTTTAAAATATAATTATATTATCGCTTAGATTTTAAGATTAATTAATATTTATTTATAATTAATTAGAGTTATCTTTAAAATAAAGAGTTTTAAACTTTTATTTTCTCTTAATTATTTTTAAGATAATACTTTTATAGCGTAGATAGCTTAATTAAAACGCTTTATATTAATTTTTATAATTAATATATATAGATCTAAAGTCTAATTTTTTAAACTTTTTATATATATAAATATTATATTTTTAAGTATAATACGCGTAGATTAATTCTTTAGCTTTATATAAGAAAATAATATTTTTAAATTTTTAATAGCGAAAGTATCTAATAACTGTATTTTCTTAAATTTATTTTCTATAATTATAATATATATTTTCTTTTAAAATTCTTTAACTTAGATTCTTTAATTAAATAATATTTATATAATAAAAATCTATAAATTTAACGATTATTATTAAAGTTTTAATTAATAAATTTTTAATTTTATTCTTATCTAGCTAATATAAATATCGAATTTTAATTTTAGAAATCTTATAGATATTTAATTTAAGAATAGTTTTAATAAGACTTTCGATATCTCTTAGAAATTAATAAAGTTTAATAGAGATATTATAAATAATTATATCGAAAGTAAGAATTAAAATAATCGTATTAATATTAAAATATATTATCTATTTTTTAACTTTTCTAATATTTTTTAGAGTATTAATACCTTCTTAAATTTTTATTAGAAATTATAAATTTCTAAATTTAAGTTATTTAATAACTTCGATTTTAGTAAATTTAAATATTAAATAATATTTTAATTGAATTTCGATAAATTTCTATAGCTACTTAGAGATTTAAATTTAAAATTTCTAGACGATATCTTTATTCTTAATCTTAATAATAATTTAATAATCTTTTTTTAGAGATAGTATTAGCTATAATAAATATAATAATACTATTCTATTCGTTTATAAAGTTATAGAACTAGCGTATTACGATTATAAAACGATAACGATTCTATACTAGTTAAAAAATCGTTCTAGAATCGATTTATAATCGATTTATAATAGTTATAAACTATAAATCTCTTTTCTTAGAACTTATAACGATTATAGTTTTATAATCGTTCTATAGTCGTTCTATAATCGTTATAATAATATTTTTTATTTTTATTTTTTTACTAAGTCTCGAATAGACTAGTAGTATTATATAATATATCTTTTAATATAAAAATTTTATTAAAATTCGAAAAAACGAATTTTAAGTTCTTAGCGTTAATATTTAAGCTTATATATACTAAGCGAATTTTCAGCCCTATAAAGAACTTTAAAATTAAATTTTATCTTTAGTTATTATATAGATTATTTATAATTCTATAAGAATCGTATAATCGTTCTATAATCGTTTTATAATCGTTCGATAACTAT